TGAAATAGTCCATCAAAAACTGCAAGATTTCTGGGTGGCAAAAGCGCTAATGAGCTCAAACATTCTATGTAAAATTTTGAGTTTTTAAAACCGTGTAGCACAAAAAGTATTCAATGCATCAGGCTCGTATTCATTGGCCGAGTTAATCGTACTTTGACCTTTCGATATTCAGAACTGAATTATTTTTAGCTCCATCAGAAACTGAATTGCTCATGCTAATGAGGCAAATGTTGTAAATAAGGATTCCCCTATAGCGAGACGAAAGCGCGCCTTCCTTTCTTCGCGCTGACAGTTGATCAAAATCAAACGAACCGGCTTCTGACCAAACACGAAATTTTATTTAAAATACGAACGGGAGGCTTTTTGTCGACGCAGTGGCAGATTCATTCTTAAAGCGTTAGAATTTCACAGTTGTGTGAAATCGGTTTTATTTTAGGTGCAAAATTTCACTTGTTAAATCTCTCCCAGTGCTGAGAAAATGATCGGAAAACTTTTTCCATCCTAACAATTTTCAGAATAGATCTTGATATTTACAGTTTGAAACTGATATCCAATCGTATTCGGGGATGTTAAAGGTCTGTAGATAAACCTAACATCAATGATTATGTTTATCAAATCTATCCTAGAGAAAAAGGAATTGCTAAGCCTCTCATTTGATATGTCTTCCTGAAAGTCTTTACTTTTCTCAACACCGCATGATTCAGATTGTAGCATTCCTCGCTATGCCTTAGTTTAAGCGCGAGAAAATGTTCATCGCAGAGGTATTGTAAATTACAAAGCCGCAAAGTCAAACAAAGATGCTGATGATTCATTGAGAAATTATTAAAACGGATGGTGAGTTCATTCGCCAAGCTTTCAAACCGATGAAACTCGACCTTCTGGATGCGAACAATAAATGGACAATAGAAAAATGAGCTGAAGTGATGATCATTACCTTGATATCCGTATAAACGCCTTTTGCGATCAACTGATAAATGTCGTTGAGATATAGAGAAAAACAGCCTTCCCAGTGGGCTAAAATGACCCAAAACTGTCGCAGAACAAAACAGCAATCGAGCTAATAATAAGTATTTGTCTAATTGTCGCTAAGGAAACACAAAAACAGATATTTCAAACCAATCAGAGGCTGCTTTATTTACAAAATATTTTCCATTGTACGCGTGCGATCGAGCGCGCTCGAGTACGCGTACAACCGATTTCCAGGCCTTTTTCGATTTTTTTCTGTCTTTGCATGTTTGAGAGGATTTCGGAAAAACTACGAA